AAATTTTGAACACTTATTTTTTCTGCATATGTTATCTATAGCTTTTTAATTATGAATTAAAAAAAGTACAATTAAAACTGTAAAATAAATCAAATTCAACACGTATCTGACTTGTATGTAAGCATATCAATTTAAACACATTCTAAAATTGATTGAATTGTCCACAACAAAAAAAAAAAAAAAAAAAAATTGTATGAACCAAAACCCAAAACTATATTGTCGGGTAAAGATTGGAAAACTGCTAAGCCGCTCTCTACCAACTGAGAGAAACCATGATAGATAGAGATATAAATTCATTTGAAAATATTTTAAAAAATAATTGGGTTCTACCAACTTGGGTTCTTTTATTTTTTTAATATACACGTCGTTTTCGCAAGGGGACCTGGAGCCAATGAGAGAAGACGCCATTTTTGACTTATCTCAGCACTCAAAAAATATTTAGTCATTTTTGAGACTGCTAAAGCTTTTTTTCACTCAAGAAAGGTCAACAACCTCCCTCTTAGCTTTGTTTTGCTTTTGCATCGCTTTGCTTTGCTTTTGCTTCTGATCTGTTGGTTTTTTTCCTTCTGTAATCGGAAACAATGCCTGTAGCAGAGATCTTTCTCTCTGCCTTCATCAAATTGCTATTTGAGAAGATGTCCTCTTTTGCCTCCTCCAAATTACCCTCCTTTGAAGGTATTGATACCCAGCTCACCAATTGGACCAATATGCTGTCTCAAATTGAAGCTCTTCTGTTTGACGCGGAGGAGAAGCAAATGAAAGACCGAGCCGTGAACCTGTGGCTTGACGATCTCCAGGATCTGGCATATGATTTGGATGATTTAGTGGATGAGTTCGCCGCCGAAGCTTTGCAACACAAGCTCAAGGCAAAGCCGCCCCAAGCTAGCTCGAGCAAGGTATGGAACCTCATCACTCATTTCAAGCCAAGAGATGTTATGTTTAATATCAAAATGAAGTCCAAGATTGAGGAGATCAATACCAGATTGCACAATAGTTTTCAACAATGTTTGAAACTTAATTTGGTTAAGATTGTTGGACCCCCCACACCTACTAAGACTTGGCAAAGACCAGACTCTACATCTATAATTGATGATCCTCGTGTTTACGGCCAAGAACACGATCAGAGTAGGATAATTGAGTTGCTCGTAAAGGGGGATGTATCAAATCATAGCAACATTGGCATAATTCCCATAGTGGGTATGGGTGGGATTGGCAAGACCACCCTGGCTCAGATGGCATACAATGATGAAACCGTGAAGAAGCATTTTGATTTGCAAGCCTGGGTCTGTGTGTCAGATGAGTTCAACATTATGAGAATAACAAAATTAATTCTCGAGTCTGTGACTACCCAGACATGTAATTTTAATGGCTTGGATCAAGTTCAAGTTCAACTGCAGAAGGCTTTGGCTGGAAGGAAGTTCTTAATTGTTTTAGAAGATGTCTGGAACAAAAAATACAGTGACTAGAATGTTTTGAAAAAACCTTTCCGTGATGGAGCCCAAGGGAGTAAAGTTGTGGTGACTACACGTAACAGAGATGTTGCAAGAACGATGGGAGGTGTTGAACTTCATGACATTGAGGTCCTATCAGATGAAGATTGTTGGTTGTTGTTTGCATAACATGCCTTCAAGCAGAGAAGTATTGATGCAAATCCAAATTTGGTATCACTAGGTAAGGAAATTGTGGAGAAATGCAAAAGTTTGCCTCTGGCTGCTAAGACACTCGGTGGCCTTTTACGTTGCAAAGAACGAGATGAGGAATGGGTAGATGTATTGTGTAATAAAATATGGGATTTATCACACGAAGAAAGTGACATCTTTCCAGCTTTGAGATTAAGTTACCATCATCTCCTTGCGCATTTGAAGCAGTGTTTTGCATACTGGTCAATAATACCCAAGGACTATGAATTTGAGGAAAAGGAGATAGTCTTGTTATGGATGGCAGAGGGTTTCATTCCGCCAAAAAGAGAGAAACAAATGGAAAATATAGGAGGTGAGTACTTTCGGGAATTGTTGTCAAGGTCTTTTTTCCAGCCATCAAGTACCGATAAAAGCTCTAAATTTGTTATGCACAACCTCATCAATGATTTGGCACAAGTAGTTGCAAGAGATACTTGTTTTAGATTGGAGGATAGATTGAAATATCAGGAGCAGTGCAAAAATATAAAGAAAGCTCGACATTCATCTTACATGCAGGAGGACCATGAGGGTATGAAAAAATTTGAGATCTTTGGCAAAGCCATGCATTTACGGACCTTCTTACCATTTTCCTTAGAATCTTCCCTAAAATCTTATTTAGATTGTCATTTGGCAAGCAATGTTCCCCGTAATCTATTGCTGAAGCTAAGACGCTTAAGGGTGCTCAATATGAGTAGATATTGCATCATAGAAGTTCCAAATTCTGTTGGAGATTTCAAACATCTGCGGTATCTTAACCTATCCCACACCTCCATTGAAGAATTACCTGAATCACTAGGCTCTCTCTACAATCTACAAATATTGATGTTGAGAGGATGTCGAAAACTGAAAAAGTTGCCAACAGACTTGGGAAACCTAATTGATCTACGTCATCTCGATACTACAAATGCACATTCCTTAGAAGAAATGCCACTGGGAATAGGTAAGTTGGTTAGTCTTCTAACACTATCCAATTTTATTGTTACTAAAAGCAGTGGGCATCGGTTAAGAGAGTTGGGGAACTTAATTTATCTTCGGGGGAAGCTTTGCCTATCTGGGTTACAGAACGTGGTGGTTCCATTAGATGCAAGGGAGGCAAATTTAAATGATAAGAAGGGGTTAGATGTGTTATCAATGGAATGGAGTGTTAACTCAGGTGAATCACAAGATGGAAGAGTTGAAACAGAAGTGCTTGACATGCTACAACCTCACAAGAATTTAAAAAAGCTCCATATCAAAGGCTACCTTGGTACAGGATTTCCGACTTGGATAGGAGATCATCTGTTCTCCAATATGGCTTACCTAAGTTTAGAAAATTGTGGAAATTGTGCATCCTTGCCACCTCTCGGACGACTACCCTCCCTCAAAAAGCTTTACATTAAAGGAATGCGTGTTCTAAAGCATGTTGGTTGTGAGTTCTATGGGCAAGGTGGTGAACCTTTTCCATTACTGGAGACTCTAAGCTTTGAGAATATGCCAGAATGGGAGGATTGGTATACTTTTGGAGATCACAAGGAAGTTCAACCATTCACTCTTGTTAGTGAGCTCTCCATCAAAAATTGTCCTAAACTTGTTGAAATGTTGCCAAGTGATCTACCTTGTTTGAATAAGCTACAGATCTCGAACTGCCCCAACCTCTGCGGAATGATGCCCAAGGATCTATCTTGTTTGAATAATCTAGAGATTTCAGAGTGCCCGCAATTCCTAGTTGAAGGTTCCAGCATTAGCCTCCCGTCACTCACCTCGATAGCTATGAATGACGTTCCTCTAACAAGCCTTGAAGCGGTCCTTGAGATGAGGAGGATGGTTGATGATGAAGTGATATCGGCAAATGCAAAGTCTAAGCATCCAAGTTCAATAACTTCCTTGAGCATTGGGATGATTAAGAAACTCGAGCTCTTGCCGAAATGGGTTACTCGTGGGCTAATGGAAGTCGAGGAATTGAACATTAGAAGGTGTGAAGAACTCAAGGCACTGTGGAAGAATGAGGCGAGAGTGCAACACAGCTTGCCTACATTCCGACGTTTGAGAATTGAAGACTGCCCCCAGTTTGTTTCGTTGTTTGAAGAAGATGGGGATGAAGAAAATGAAGGGCAACATCAGCAACAACAACAAGAGGGACTCCCTAGCATAGTGAGGCTTGAGCATCTAACAATAATTAATTGTGAAAAGCTGCTGGATAAACTGCCACGGCTGCTACATACCTTCTCTTTTCTTCGAGAGTTGTATGTCTGGAAGTGTCCAAGTCTTGGCTCTTTTCCAGAGACAGGTTTTCTGTGCACGCTGAAAAAACTCCAGATACTTCGTTGTGAGGCTCTGCAATCCTTATTCGGGTGGATAACGCAGATTAATGACAATAATCTTGAAGTGTTAGATGTTGAGAATTGTCCATCCCTCACATGCTTGATATCATGCAGAGGTGGGGGGCTACCGCCCACACTCAAAGAGCTTGAGATTTGGGGGTGTAAAAAGTTGGAGGCACTGCTAATAGAGGAGGGGATGGAAATTAACTGTCCATCTCTTGAGTCTTTTTGGATCAGTGGTTGTGATAGGCTGAAATACTTGCCAGATGCCCTTCCTAATAATAATAATCTTAGGAATCTCAGTCAATTGGTGCTACATGGGTGTGAGAATTTGGAGTACATTCCGGAAGGATGGTTACACTCCGCAACAAATCTGACATATTTGAATATGAGGGGATGAAAAAAACTGAAGGCCCTACCACACGGATTGCAGAGCATCAACTACCTCACTTCTCTTCAAGAGCTAGATATGAATATTTCACAATGGAACAACAACTTCAAGAAGATTGGTTTGCACAGTTTATCCTCTCTTAAAACACTATGGATTGAAGGCAAAGAAGAAGAACATCCGATGGGTTCCAGCTTTCCGATAGATGGGATGTTGCTGCCCACCTCTCTTATCGTACTTTGGATCCGTAATTTTCGAAATCTGGAGAAGCTATCTTCTAAGTTGTTTCAAAACCTCGCCTCCCTTGAATGTCTTTATATCGGGGATTGCCCTAGGCTCACATTCCTGACGTCAACATCGGTGAGTGATCAACTCTGTGGAGATTCCACCGCAATACAAGCAGTCAAATTGCCAGGTATCAAAACAGAAACTAATTTGATAAATATAAACATTTAAAAATTATTTTCAGATTTTAAAAACAAAATATTTTTTCAAAAAGTGGAAAACCATAATAAAAAAAATATGTTAAATTTAAATTTGGAGGACCATTATGGGATGAGTAAATAATTTTTTAAATTTTGGTTGGTTTTGGAGGTTTCAAAAATAGTTTTAAATTTTTAATTCGTATTTTTTTAATATACTGACTAATTTGTTTTATTTTTAAATACATCTAATCTTTTAAAAAATTTAAAAATTTTAAAAATATTTAAAAATTTTAATAAATACAAAATACATACAAAAATGTATTAAATTTGAATATTTGTTAATATTTAGTGATTTTTTAAACGATTTTTTTCATAAATTTTATATGGTTTAGGTTTATTTAGATTGAGTGTATCTAAAACTTAAAAAATATTGATTAAAATACTTAAAAAGTTCACTAAAAATAATAAAATATAGATTGAAACTTAAAAACTATTTTTGAAAGCTCCAAAACAAAACAGAGTTTTAAAAATTATTTCAAATTTGAAAATTAAATGACTTTTGGATTTTCAAATTTCTAAAAACTATTTTTAGAATATACAGCCAAACAAATTTTTAGAAAATTATCTGTCAAAATTGATTATGAAAACCAAACCTTAGTTTGGGTTTTCTAGGCTGGTCATTAAAAAGGGCGTCTCCGATGTACGAAGCTCCCGTTTAAGCGGGGTTTGAGGAAAGGTTGATGTACGCAGCCTTACTCTCACAAGTAGAGAGGCTACTAATAAATTATTTTTGTATTTGTTAAGTTGTTGCCTATACCTGCAACAAAAGTGATAGGCCGGCCGAGATCTTGACACTGTGCACTTTACAGCTGTGGGGCAATATCCCCCAGATATTATCTGTATCCGGGGGATATTTTTTGGGAGAATTTTGCTCTCCTTTATGCCCCACCTTTACACCCTCCTTTTGGTCCATATATCCAGCTGCCAAAATGCATTAGAGAGGTTAGAAAAATTCTCCTTTTCAGAGCATATGTCATTGTCACACTCTCACATATTCCACTCTTTCATTGCTTTTGAGAGTTGTGCTTTATGTCTTGTTTGTGAGCCAACATGCGAGCATGTTTTTCTTGCCTTTTGTGCCTAAGTTTCAGCATATCTAGGCCACTGTTTCGACATGATTTAGCTCTTTCCAGAGTCGGTTTGGCCATTTCAGTTTGATATTGCATGCCTCTAGTGTAATGCTTATCACTAGTTTCAATGACTTTGGCCCTTAACATGTTGTACATGCGTTGCTTGCATGGTTTAGCGTCTTTAGCATCCTATTTCAGCACTGAAATGCTTGCCATATCACTCCAGCTCTAACTTTGAGGTAGGGATATCCTACTCCTCTCTATGGGTTTTGTCTTTAAATTTTGGTATTTTGAGATGTTGGGGTTGGTTTGGTAATTTTGTGAGAGTTTGGGGCTTTTGTGTAATTTTACAAAAGTTGGGGTTTTATTTATAATAAACCTAGATGCATGTTTGGCACAGAGAAATGGAATAGATGTTAAATCATTGATGAAAACGGGACCTTAAGGGTTGTGATGTTAATTATGGGAAATGACCTAATTACATTGTTTGATTAATTGGAATAATTAATCGTTAGAAATGAGGAAATGAAATGGAAATGTTGAGATTGGAAATGTATGGGAAAGGGGGTGTAGTTGAATTAATTATCACTCACCGAATTGAAATGTTGATTAAATATCCATTTGTGCATTTATTTTCTGTTTAGAAATAACTGCTTTGGGCTATCGGTGGAGGATAGTCGTGATTGTTGTAGACAATGCATGATGATTAGGCAAACTGAAACTAATCGATTGAATGTGTCATAGAGTTTGACGGTGGATTGAATGCATTAATTTTATGTATTGGTTGATTGTATATAGAACCAATGTGTTTGTATACGTTATGTGTAGAGGAGGAGATGGGGGATGTACTCCGCGGTTTAGGGGAAGATGGGGGATGTACCTCTAAACCGGATAGTGTTGGGAGAAGATAGGGGATGAACTCCGTAGACATAGCTCATATGCTTGTCTAGAGAAATGAAGATAGAGCTCATATGCTTATCTTTGAGAAGTGTAGATATAGCTCATGTGCTTGTCTAGAGAAGTGAAGATAGGGCTATCATGCTTATCTTTGTGGAATGTGGATGTAGCTTATATGCTTATCAGTGAATGTGGGATATAGTTTTTATACATATCTGTTAAGAAGATGATAGAGCTAGTATGATTATCTGTTGAAAAAGGGAAAATGAAAAGTAACTTGGACTCATAAGTCGTATGACATAAAATGTGATTTATGTGGATGTATCAGTGTTGGCCATCTATCAATTGCTAATTAGTTATTGCTCATACTGTGTTTAGCATATCTCTACTGGGCGTTGGCTCACCCTTTATGGGACATTATTTTCAGGTACAGGTAGTATGCCACCTCCAAGGACATAGCTTGGGAGGCTAGAGGCGGACAGACTTTTGTTGTCTTATTTCCTTTTGATGTATTACATGTAAATCCAAGCCAAGGGCTTAATGTGTAATTGAGTTAGTACTCTTTTTTTTTGTAACCAAGTGTTAACTTGGAAAGCTGTAAGCCCGTAGGGCATTTGCTTTTGTTGTTAACATGTAATACTTTTGTAATGAAACTCTGATCAATAGAAGAATGTGGCTAATTTGTATGTCAATGGATGTTTTAATTGATGGTTTAATGTTATTATTTTGAGGACGTTACATCCGATGTACGAAGCTCCCGTTTAAGTGGGGTTTGAGGAAAAGTTGATGTACGTAGCCTTACTCCCACAAGTAGAGAGGCTATTAATAAATTATTTTTGTATTTGTTAAGTTGTTGCCTATCTAGTGACCGGGAAAAGTCAGATTGAAAGTGATTAAGTTAGTACAAATTCTTGTTGGTGGGAGAATTTTTTGGCCGGTCAAATGAGGGTAATGTTAAAAATAAAAAAAATAAAAAAATGAAAGAGAATGAAATGCTGTGAAATTATGTAAGTAGTTTGCAAATGCTGAGAAAAATTAAACAATTTTTTTGTTATTGTAAGAGCTAACTTAAAAAGTTACAAACAAATATACGCATATCAGGTGTCCAAATTTCATTTTGGTGAGCTGTTCTAATAAATATGGAAACTGAAAACAATTTTAATTGTATACTTAAGTTACATTTTTTGCATGAAAAGAATTTATTAGAGTATTAAGTTTTATCAATCTATAAGGGATTATTTGATGCAGAAATGTGCTTTCAAGGATCTGAATACAGAGAAAGATTTCTTCCGATAGATTTCCTCATCTGCTTTTATTTCCCGAGGAAACCACAACAAATGGAAGAGTCCTCATTTCTTTCCAACTTTGTGCATTTGTTCCTGGATATCCTGTCCATCCAGTGATTGTTCGCTATCCCCTTGTACACTTCGACCAATCCCGGTAAGAATTTTCTTTAGTTGAAACCGTTTTGGTGTTGTCTTTTGTAATATCTTTACCTAATTTGCATCATATGGCCTTTCATTTTAGGGGAAATATATAACTTGCATCATATGGCCTTTCATTTTGTTTAGGGGAAATATAGCTTTGGGAAAGCTCATGTTTAGAATGTTCAGAGTTTCACAATTTCATGGAGGTATGTTGAGTGATTTTTTATTTATCTATAGTTACATATATTGAAAATGTAGTGAGTTTGGCTTCCGCTAATATTTTTGTTTGTAAAATTTTTGGGTAGTATGGTGTATAAGGTGGCAATTTATATATATAGGTTGTTACAGTGATGCCTTATTTTGCTATTTTTATTTTAATTACTAACTCACTCTCGTAGATCATCAATACTGATTATTCATCAGCTTAAATGTACATGCATTTATATGATGTGTCCCTGACTATATTATAATTTGAATTTTGGTTACTGAATAACTTGTATGTTATAAAAAGTTGAATGAAGTCATTCATTAAATTATACAGGTAAAGTATCTTCCTGTTGTTTTACCCCTTGAATTCAGAACCAGTGGATGTTTAACACACCGTAAATATTGTAATTGAATTTGTGTGATGTTATGTCTACTGCATTTGTGTATGGAAGCCTGCCCTTTTTTTTCGCATCTTTGCCCAAAGAATTAGACAATTGATGAATGGTCTTTGGATTTAAAGTAATATTATATATATACAAAGATCAAAATTTCGTTTCGGTGTGTTGTTTCAAAAAGTACATAAACAAAAACATCTCGGAAATATTTTATAAAATGAAGATCAAATCGAAATGTTTGAAAATATAAATTGAAATATATCTAAATGTATAAAAGCCTAATAATTGATTAATTAAACAAATTGAGATTGATATAGTCATTCACGTAAAAGAATTAAAAAACTAATGTTACTATGAACTAAAAATTATTAAGTATTGTCAAATAACTCAATTTTATTAAACAAAAATTTCCAATAAGGTCTAAAAATTTACTGAAACAGTAGTAATAAATGTTTATGAAAATTTCTAAATTTGTATAGATATAATTTACTCTTTTGTTATATCACACTATGTTTTGGTGTGTTTCACTATGTTTTGGCATGTTTCAATGAAAACACTAGAATTTTGTTATTCCACTAGTGTTTTGTTGCAGTCTCTTGGAAAATGGAAACACTTCATTTCAATGGAAACAAATGAAAAATTTGTTCCTCAGATATATTAAAGATAAATCCATGTCAAAAAGTTTTTCATTCATGTGTTGTCTACGTTTTCCATGTTATTTGGTTCCAAACAAATGTCATATGGTACCTATTAAAATTGGGTGTAACTGCACATTCAACAACCCTCGTATCTTCTATGTGCACAATGTTAACTTATTACAATTGGAGGAATAGTTTCCTATTGTCCATCTTTAATTTGGAAAAATTTTCCCTTTTGTATTCTTTTACTAGCTGTTGGTGTATTGCCTTGATTCTTAGGGACAGAGCCATGTATAACAAAGTTGGGTCAAGTGACCCCACTGGAAATTTGAAAATCTGAAATTATTATTCTGACTTTTTGAAAATCTTATTTTAAATGAGGTCAATCTTGTACACTAAAAGTATGAACTATTTTCATAAAGCATAGAGATTAATATATACTCATGTTACCCTTTTTTCCTTCTAATATTTTAGTTATTCTTTTTCATTTTCTTCTTTCTTTGAATTCTTTTGTAGGTGTTCACGTGTTATTTACCTTATATATCACTATTTTCCTAATATCCAAGGAGATGATTACGACATGCTGTGACAGTTTAGGAGAGAATTTATGCTTATATTTAAAAAAGGTGGAAAAAAAAAAGAAAAAAAAAAAGAGAAGAGAACTTGTGGCATTAAAAAGGAATTGCCAACAAACACGGTGTAGTTTTCTTCAACTAAATTAATTAAGCAAATCTTATGTTCAAAGGATATATTTGAATTAAATTTGTTCAAAATTTTAATGAAGGAAAATATTTTACATTTATGATTTACAGAATCAATTGTTTAACTTTATTAGCATTTATGGAATTTTAGTATTAGTGATGTAAGCGGTCATTTATTCGATTTTTGTAAAAATTAACTATTCTGGTTTTTGCTTTCATTATGGTATTTGTAATTTGGTAACTATAAATTACTTGATCCAGTTTTGTATATTACGCAAGTTTATTAGCATAAATTATGTGTAATTGAAGGTTGATATTAGTAGTGAATTGTTTAATGGACGTTTCTGGCTCCGCAATGGTTGATTCTTAGAACTTATTCTTTGTAATATGGAGAAGAATCGTATTTTTGTGAACTTGATGATTATCTAACAGCACACTGCATTTTGGATTTGTCTTGATTTGCCATTTGAGCTGCCTTGAGTATATATATCATTCTCTCTAAGTTATTTGTGGATATTGAGTTTTTAATCTATTAATTCATCCCTAATGGATATATGCAGACTAGCCATGCTATAGCTACCTCTCTTAATGTTACAAATGAAAAAGTTATTGAAACTGAATGATTTTCATTAGATTGAAAACTCAGATATACAGTAACTTGTATACACTCCACATGTTTACAAAATATTTAACTAAAACATCTACCTAACTCACTCTGTTACAACAAGTTGAATTAACACTAGACTTGTTTGGTTTGCAGGACAACATATCTCTAGTCTAGTCTTAGATTGAATCCTGGATTGCTGAGTCTTGATTGGTTACACTAACTGTACAAACATCTCATTCCTATGGGGACATCATGCAGCTTGCAAAAGCTTCCGAGTCCAAACAAGTCACTTTTCGTGCTCCATGTGTTTTGGCTTTATAATTTATCTTGCTTTTAGGTCGGCAAAAATGATCTTGTACTTCATTCAAACATTCTATGAAGTGCTAGATTTTAGCTCTTAAACTTAATTTGATGGCCTT